ACACGTAAAGCCACATCTCAGCCATACATACAGCAGACAAGGACGACAGGGTGAGTGATGACTTTCAATCTTGGTTAATCTTAAAATAAACTTGTGTTCTACTATTCCTGTCAGACAGCCCCCTCAGCTGAATGTAACTCATCGATAATGGCTTGTAGAGAAATCACAACAAGTTGATACACAATTATAAAACTACATCTGAACACTGGGTGTTATGTAGGTAGTCAATTCATGCACTTCGTCTAATGAGACAAGGCTTCAATAAATCCAGTCTGTTGTGTCAATGTTGCTGGAAATAACCGGCTCTGTGAGACAGACTTATATAAGATTTGGACAATAATCAAATTCCCTGCATGAAATGTACTGAAGGAACAGATTATGACATTTTACACGACTCTTTTGTATAAACATGCATACCAGAAACAACACAGGTTTGTCCAAGATATTTTTATGGATTAAACTTCTTTTTTATTTCATAAATTAAAAAATAAAAATTCATAATTTAAAAAAAATAAATTAATCCATAAAATTATCTTGGACATCTATGTACAACTTCTAAATGCCACTGAAAGACATAATACAGGTTTGGTCTTCAAGTTGGTTTGTTGGTACTTGGTAGATTAGAAAGTGTGAATTTAGACATATTTTTATGATATTCACATGCATGTTTGATTACTGATGAAAAGACGACAGGCGGTACCATGAGTAATCATATATGTCATCAGGGTTATACACGACTCAGAAATGTGCGCACATATGAAACAGATGCAGAAATAATATATAGTGTTTCCAAAGGGATGAACAACAAAATCCATAGTGGCACATTCTCTACAGGAAACAAAAAGTTCATGTGATAAATGTAATCATTACATCTTAGATGATCTTACAGTACAAAACATGCCAGTACTCTATTTCAGTTTGCTACAGGACCCTAAGATTTCCTGCAAAGGACACTTGAAATTAGTAATTGGGGTTCTAATTGACCCTGAGTTTAGTAGGGCAAGGACGGGATGGTGGGGCAGCATAGTGGTTAAAGAGCTTGCTTGTCACGCTGAAGGCCTGGGTTCGATTCCCAATATGGGTACAGTGTGTGAAGCCCATTTCTGGTGTCCCCAACTGTGATATTGCTGGAATATTGCTAAAACGGCGTAAAACCATACTCACTATCTCACTAGTAGGGCAAGGTAAGATCCCGGTGCTTGACATTGTGTCAATGTATCAAGAAACACAGGTCACAAATCCACATGTTCATATGTGGCAAGGGCCTGTTCTTCATGTTTCAGATTGAAAACATAATCATCTCATGTGATGATTTCATACACATCTCTAAAAATGCTAAAAAATAATGCTAAAAGGGTAACTATTGAAAACCAGAAGAAGATTGAATAGGTTGTTAAAACAAAATGCTAAAATGGTATCTTTTGAAATCAGAAGACTGATTGACTGAGCTTGGTTTTATGCCGCTTTTATCAATATTCCAGCAGGGACACCAGAAATGGGCTTCATACATCGTACCCATGTGGGGAATCGAACCAGGATCCTCGGCGTGACGAGCCAACGCTTTAACCACTATGCTACCCCACTACCCCAAAAACAAAAGAACACTGAATAGATGTGACTGTGGCAAATGCTTGTTGCCAGAAAATCTTAGAACATGTTGAATAACTGCAATCCTGACACTGCGTCCTAAAGTCGGGTATTCAGTGTAGTGGAAGGGGGCCAGCTGATGGATAAAACAATCCTGACATATACTTGCTGATTACTGTTTCTGACAAACTACCAATGGTCACTTTCTCCCTATTCAGCTCTGTGACAGTTCTGGCTTGGCCTCCAGCCTTGAAGACAGTTTTACATACATGGGTGATATTAGCACTGATGTGCAGGGTTAGCTATCTGATTTGATCCTAAACTGGTATAAAAACAATCCCAACAGACAAGACATGGAAAGCATGAACAAACCGACAATCCGTCAAAAATAACAAACAGATATGATAACATTTAACTTTCATGCCTAAAGAAAGATCATATTTTCAATGAACAGAACTCAATGGAATATGGAGTACAGTCTAACACTCTAAGCAGCAACATCATCATCACACAAGTGTGACTGGATGACACAAGTATTGCATAATTAATATCACTGTTGTGGTAGAACTGTGTGAAGATTATAATGACATCACTAAGTATGAATGGTGATTACCAGGGTATGCATATGTTTTGCAATGTACCGTATATTACCGTCTATAAGACGAATTTTGAGGACCAAAAAAAGCAGTCTGTAGAAGGGGGTCGTCTTATCCATGGGTTATGCTTTCGTCAAACTTTTTTCCAGGGGTAAGAAAACAACATCGTATCACTTCGCGTGAACAAACAACAGAAGACGACTTTGTCAGTAGAGATGTCAAATTTGCAATTAAACATCACTAGACAAGATTATGTACCTTTTAAGTTCTAAGTTGTTTTTGCTGGGCATTGTATTATTTGCAGGGATTAAGATTACCGTGTGTATCTGAGCCAGAAATAGCAATCAGCTGTGCACATGTTTCCCGGTGATCAAGTTCAAACATGCACAATAATATAAAGGGACGAATTCTGACGCAGTCATCAGTAAAATATAATACAGAATACTATTATTTAACCCAAAGAAATATATATCCTAGCATTGTGTAATTTTAATTACAGTTTTTGCTCTATAAATTAATTAAGATTCAGATTTCCATGTGTATTTGAGCCGGAAATAGCAATCAGCAGCGAACAAGTTCAAACATGCACAATAATATAACGGGACGAATTCTGACGCAGTCGTCAGTAAAATATAATACAGAGTACTATTATTTAACTCAAAGAAATATAACCTAGCATTGTGTAATTTTAATTACAGTTTTTATGTAAAATATACATAATCAACACTAAGGTTCTACGGACCCTCATGAATGTGGTAAGCAGAAGTTGTACGCACATGGAATGGGGTAAAATACGGAAGCCATTTAAATTCACACATTTTTACCGATGTTACTGTAAACTAGCAGTCAATGGGAAACGAGGCGGTATTCAGTTCATGATTGTTGAATGGGATAAAATAAGCAAGCTAGTTTGTTGCTACAATACATATGATATTTAGAGAAACAAAATATATTATGGATTTTCTGTCAACAACACTTCGTTTCGATCCGTGAGTAGACGCAATATATATGATTGTGAATTCTTTGAATAATGTGGACCAAAGTTATAATTATTGGTAACTGCCAGTTGTCTGTGGTCTGTGTTTGCCGCGACTAGGACCCCATTGCGGGGCATCGACTATTGCAGGAAACATACCATTTTGACACTGATTTTAAGGGTCAAGTTTGGGGGTCGTCTTATCCATGGGGTCGGCTTATAGACGGTAATATACGGTAGCATCTAGAAAAAACTATTATTGAACAGTCATTGGTATTGATCAAAATCCACTCTCAGTATCATAAATTACTCCCTCAGTGTCCCATTGACGACAACAATGCTTCCATAGTTTGATCCTTAATCATTGATCAATGGTTATAGTTGGTTCGATCCAACTGAATCAGACACTGCTGGTTAGAGATTATCTGATCCAACTGATGAATCTTTCACTGCTGGTTAGAGATTATCTGATCCAACTGATGAATCTTTCACTGCCGGGTAGACTGAGTGAGTGAGTTTAGTGTTACGCCACACTCAGCAATATTCCAGCTATTTGGCGGCGGTCTGTCAATAATCGAGTCTGGACCAGACAATCCAGTGATCAACAACATGAGCATCGATCTTCGCAATTGGGAACCGATGACATGTATCAACCAAGTCAGCGAGCCTGACCACCCGATCCCGTTAGTCGCCTCTTACTGAAGGCCAATATTCTCACCCAGACCTTCATGGGTTGCTGGTTAGAGATTACCTGATCCAACGGATGAATCATTCACTGCTGGTTGGAGATTATCTGATCCAACTGATGAATCATTCACTGCTGCTTAGAGATTATCTGATCCAACTGATGAATCACTCACTACTGATTACAGTTGGTTTGATCAAACTAATTACTGGTTACAGTTGGTTTGATCCAAATGATAAATCATTGATCACTCGTAAAAGATGCTTTGATCCAAATGGTCATCCACTGACAATAAATCAGTGCATCATAGCTTGGTGATTTTCAGAAATTAAATGTCAAAAAAGATGATTTTCCACAAACAATTAATTCACAGGAATTGATACCATGAAATCTGTAACATTAACATGTAAAGCAAAAAAACAATATGGAGGAGCACACAAATATAATGATATGCAATATAACATGGGTGTGAAGACTAAAACAAAAGAGAAGGGATTAAAAAGCAAAATGGTACATTAGGTGTACCACAGGGACATAGTAGCACTGAGAGCTATTACAGGTTATATTCCCCTATTTATATATCATCTTAAAATGATATGATTTATAAAACCCTTAAAACAGGGCAATAATCTACACAAGGAGTGGAAGAGTAATCAAAATCTTCATTAACCTAAAAAAATAAATCTTCATTCCATTTTCTTCTGATCACAGCCAATGTCCCAATAATACAGAGAACAGTTTACGTGCTTGCCGTCACAGTTTGAGAAGGTGTGGACACTGTTTGCTGCTGTAGGCACATGGCATGTTTGTAAACTCTAAACTGTAAGCATGTGCTGTAAGGGTCGCTGTAAGCTATCAACAGGAACAACACAGCTAGCGAACATACAACAAGACCAATTCTAGAGTTGTGTTGATCAAACATTATAATCCCTGGTGTCTGGGTGGTCCAGCATCATCTGAGATGGGGCAAAGCAACGATCCCCTTGCCATGCAACATACTACACCTCAAAAACCAGAAAAAAACTACCTTAGAGCAGCCATCTAAATCACCCTTGGCCACAAAACCAGGACAATTTTTGACAAGCAAGCCTCCGGACTGACAGGTGTTTAAACTCCTTACACCATCCCCAGGTAAATACAATGATGACATACTCACATAATAGTCCCTGTACTATCAAGGTAGGCAGGTGACACTGCGCGATGGCATCATTCTTGCTTACAATCAAAAATATTCCGTCTTTGCTTAGCCAGCGTTCAGTTCAGACATTCCCAGTGCTAGACTACGCACCCTCCCACACACAACAACACCTTCCATTGATCAGTGAATCAGGAAACGCCTGCCTTCCTGGGCAGATCCAACTGTAGCCACGGCTCTCAGCCTACTTGTACTTCCTAAGGTCACCAATTGAGGTCAAGGCAGCCATATTTGGAAACTGCATGGCTGGATGGGACTTTCTGATTGGTTGTTTTCTAAGTCACTGTGACATCTCCCACTACTGAGGGAGTAAATCTGTGTGTCTAGATCGCCTGTCCCATTGATTAAAACAGAAACTCACGGTTGGAACTCTCCTCAACAGATGTACAGACCAACACAGAGAGAAGGAGGGTCTGATTGTAGCTTAAAGCGGTAGTGGAGACAAGTACGAGATACACGTGATCACAGGCTCTCTAACTGGCTGACTCTTTACAATTATCCCAAACAGCTTTATGCAGGGTGTGAAACTCAAAACTTCACGCATCACTGAACTCAAGATATTTGCACTGGTTTTTGACTGACTAACATACCTTAGTACAAAAGCATTGATTACAATATTACATTTGTAAAATAATTATTTCATTGTTTTGTTACTTTTTAACGCTGATCCTTACCCTTCTAAAGTGTAAGTAGTTTTTTGTTTACCATCCTAACTACTTTTGTTGACATTCCCCCAAATGTAGTAATACAAAATGGCCAAGTTCTGGTGAAACTCAAAAAAGATATGCACCAGAAAAATAACCCAAAATTCATTCACCATTTAATTAAGAACAATCAGGACAAATTGTTTTAGTGATCTACCATCTATTGCTGCTTATAGTACGACCCCACATACAAGAAGACCCCCTCTGCAAGCTTTCAACACTAATTTATATACCCCATCTATAACATGACCCTGGATGAAGCACATCACCAGTGCGTGAGTGAGTGACAGAGTTTAGCTTTATGTCGCTTTTAGCAATATTCCAGCAATATCACGGCGGGGGAAACCAGAAATGGGCTTCACACATTATACTCAAGTGGGGAATCGAACCCGGGTCTTCGGCGTGATGAGCAAACGCTTTAACCACTAGGCCACCCCACTGCCTAAGCACAGCATCAGAGCATAAAAGACTTAATTAGCATGTTTAGGGTTCAACAGTCACACAAATGATAAACAGAGATATTTATAGTATTTTCTCAAGAATAAATTGAAATGATGTATTCTAAATGACATAAGTGTATAAACTACAGAGTAAGCAAAACTACTTCCCCAAGAACAATCTATACCACATTCTTCCATTACTAAGTCATTTCATATCCATTTAAATCTCAGTTTTAGTCTCAGGTTCCTTACTGCAGTGAATCTACATAACAAATAGTATGTTATTTATTCATATACATATCACAGCAGACATTCCCATATCCACCCATCGTAATTCATTCAACCTTGTTATGATTACCCGGTAGGTATTCCAAATCCAGGATATTCAGATAAAATACTCACAAATTTTTGGGACTTGCTAACTGGAGCTAGCTTTAAACACTTTTATCACCGAACATCACCTGCAGCTAAACTCATCAGCTAGGAGATAGATCTAACAAAATGCCACTTGGTCTCCTTAACTCCGATAATGTTAGTCCATACCTTTCAACTGACACAGCTACTAAAAATGACTCAAAAAGAAAGATATGATGAGCACAAACTGCATCTATACAAACTGGTCTCGCACAACACTTTTTTTCAAGAATTGTCACAATATAAATCACACATGAGTCTCAGTATGTACTGCTGTGATCTACCAACCACGTGACTTTTGAAACAAAATTCCGTGTCCACATCTACAATGTTTAACCATATACTCCAAGGTGAATTCAATCGATTCAGTGTAGACACATGAAGAGCCACCCCATCATGGAAAGTCAGCTTGACATGTATGCCAACAGTGTAGACGTAGACGACGTCTATATTTGGAGCAAATCGTCTCCAGCCCTCACATAACCTGTTGTACTCCAACTAAGGAGGGTTTCCATGTTGGATGATAAACATGAGAATTTTACTGACGAAGAAATTTGTTTCTTTGGCTGATAAACCTTCTGTTGTTCTTCATCATCGCATGTAATGATGTGTGTCTTATCATAGTCTGTTCAGAGAATATATAAGTGGATAATGAACACTGCCAAATGAAAAGACACATGTAGATGGGCTATCATAAATACTGCAGCATTCATGATTCAAAATAGACACAATATGTGGATCTGTCATCAGTCAGTATTTCAGAAAAGCCCATCAAATAGATTATTGTAGGACTGCAAACCTTAAATATATTAGTACCTTTCCTGCTGTAGTTTGAGATGACATGCTGAATATGTGGATATTTCTCTGGTTTGACATAACGAAGCCTAACACAATTTCTTCACTTCAGAAGATCGCTTGTCAAGATGGTGAAGAGCTAAGGGAGGTAACTCTAAGTGTTGTCTGACATAGAGTTTTGGGGTGAAAATAGACCCTACTTCTGGTCCAAGTTGCCCTAATACTATATCACCTGACATAGGGCTTGAAATGTCAAAGAATGGATACAGTGTCTCTTCAACCTAGGCATGGCAAAAAAAATAAAAATGATAAAGTAAATATTTGTAGTATTTTTGATCATGCATATTGATATTATTGACATTTAATGTGATCGATGCACAGCCATCAGACTCTGCACAACTGCAACACCTACAGTTCAATACATGGCAACATCCCACAACAGGACAAAGCAAACTACTGAGGAGTGGCAACAGTTTCACTTGAAAGACAAAAAGAAAAATTCTAATCTATTATGTGTAACATAGGCGGATCCAGAAAGTTTCAAGGGGTGGAGTGGGGGGTGTTCAGGGTGTGTGTGTGTGTGTGTGTGTGTGTGTGTGTGTGTGTGTGTGTTTTGAACCCCCTGAACCCCACCTTGGCTCCGCCATTGCAAAACATTAACTTCAATGTGGTCTTTAGTCATTTTCAAAAGGAGGGGGGTTCAAACTCCCCCTGGATCTGCCACTGTTTGAGCTTGCTATACTTGATGTTTCTGATGACTAAAATTTTGCCATTTGCATCTTGCGCATGTTTGATGCAGAGATGCCAATCCTAATTTAGCCCAATTAGTATTTTGGCCAAAATCTGATGCAAAAATTAGTATTTTATCATATGAACTTTTCTAAAGAATTGTCATATTAAATAAAAAATATATAGATAGTCTAAGAACTTGTTACTAACATTGTACTCACCTAAATCAGTAGTAAGTATCCACATAGAGCTTGATACTGAATAAAATATGGTTGAAATTTATTGTGTATGGTACGTATGCTATTTGATAATTTAATTTAATGTATTCTTTTTTAAAATTTGTATATTTTTACTGCTATCGTAGTTGCGTATTTTGTGTTGTTTTTTCATAACGAATACGATAAAATCGTATGGGTTGGCATCTCTGTTGACGGCAGAGAACAAATCCAGGTGATAAGACAATTGACACTAACAAAAAATAAGTTCATATTTTTTATTTATGGCTTGATCTAGTAACCAACTGAAAAAATATATGGTCTAAGTAAGCAATAGGAGGGAGATTATCCACTAAGCATTTGTAGCACCACGTCATTTACAAGCTTATGATAAAGTGTAGAGTTACGATGGGTCGTAAGTCTATGGATTGAGTCTACTCAGTAATATTCCAGCTGTATGAAGGCAGTCTGTACATAATTTAGTCTGGACCAGACAGTCCAGTGATTACCATCATGAACATCAATCAAGACACAATTACATCCCATCAGTTGCCTCTTAAAACAAGCATGGGCTGATCAATTCTAACCCGCATCTTTATGAGTCCTTTTCCAAAGAATCTTTCATTAGCTGACACAGTCTTAGGATATAAATACATAATGTTTCCACTTCTCAACTACAACAAAAACAAATTTGAGACTAATTTCAGTGTCCTGGTTTTCATATGTCCAGGCAAGGCATATATTCTCTTTTGTTTCAACAAATGATTTTGCAATTTATTTTTCATTAAACTTCATTTAATGTACTTTTTTAAATAGTGCTATCAACTCTAACATTACTTTTTAACATTATTTTACCACTGAGTATTTTGTATATCCATTGCAACAGTTTTCTTTTCTTTTATCAAATAATTTTGTCATTTATTATTCACTACTTCATTTAATGTACTTTTATAAATAGTGCCATCAACTCTGGACATTATTTTTTTTATATTATTTAAGGCCAGACCAATCTTATTTCTTGTTTTATGGATTTTTGTCCCCAGAAAACCTAAAGGGGCAAACAAGGGAGGAGGGGAAATAAATAAAAGACGAAAATCACCAGTCAAAGTAATATTCCGTTTAAATACTAAAGTATTTTACTTAGAGCAATTTATAAAGTGTATATGAGGCAAAAAACAATGTAACAAAAAATTAAGTTTACATTTTTGGCCAATGAAAACATTAGGATTTTATTTTTTGAGCAGGGAAAATTTTCTTATTCTTGAAAAAATATGACCGATGGATCAGTAAAACAAGAAATAAAATTGGTCTGGCCTTACCTCTTACTATTTCATATATCCATGGTAACACTTTCATGACTCATAGCTTACTATATTCATGTTAAAGTGATGTCTAAATGCTATGGTTTATGAAGTTAAATCCAAGTGTCACAGTGTCTTTTACTGAAATTGACTTCCCTTTGCTCCGTGAAAGTAGCACGACTTTGTATATCCAAGCAACGTAACAAGAGTTAAACAACTGATTAGAATATCGATGACAGTTTACCATGTTTCCAGACACTGTTTATCATGTTGATATCTCAGTCATACTCATACACTGTATCATATTATGTCTAGATTCCAGTGAAATGGAGGTCATAAAATATCATGAATTAAAGTTTCAACTTTATTGCTTGCATCAGATTCATATCTAGTTCCGTCCTTGAGAGATATTCCTGTTGTCGATAATACACCCATGTATGATTCATATGTCCACCTCCTACAGACTTTCAACTGACTCATGGTGACAACACAGAATATGACATACATTAAGAGATTTCTGGTCACTTTTTCTGAACTTATAACAAAAAATCCCTAGACAAACTGCTCGGTTATTGTTTATCATGGTGACTGATAGTTACTGGAAGGGTTGACAAATTGTTCAAAATCTGTGAAATACTATAGAATTATCTTTTTTGTTTGCTTGTTGTTTTCCAGCAATAGGACGGTGGTCTGTAAATAATCTAGACTGGACCAGAAAATCCAGTGATCAACATCATGAGCTTCAATCTATGCAAATGGGATACAATGACCAGTGTATGAAATAAGGCCCATCCCACTCCCGAGATGGGCTAGATTTCTGACAGACGGTCTAAATTTACAG